TCCTTTTTCACATCCAGAGAAATATTCTGCCTTTTCAATATTTCCTAGGATATTTCATTTTTCTGGGAGAGGGCTGGATGATAACTTCCCACACTGCATGATATGGAAAGTATTGATATGGATTAAAGGTGCAATTTTCTCTCACAACCTTACTATTTTGGTCAACAGAGTGCTGAGAAAATGTATTTTTAACATTTTTATAGAATGATAAAATTTCTGGTCCCAGGGTACTTGGGGGAAATTATTCAGCCTGAGCACTCGTGATTTCAGCAATTTGATGCAGATGCCACCACAGTTACTAAAAGCTTTTACAGGTTGGGAAGAATCAGCCGCCACTTCAAACCACCCTTTTTTTGGGAGTTGATGAAACTGACAAGTGATGCACCATTTATGGTAACCCAGATAAATAGTGAAAAGTTCTTTTTTAAAGGACAAGAAGTTAACTTCCTTGATCGTAAAATTAATAAACTGAATACACTGGATATCTTAGAGAATGTTTAATAGTGATAATGCTAATTTTAGCTGTATATGCAATTTAGGAGCTAGATGTAATTTGAACTTCTCCCATTATTGGATTTGACTTATTCTTGTCACATTTGGAACTAAGAAAATTGTTACTATTCTGAATTGATCATTTGTGTAATAAAGATATTTATCTTTTTCTTAGCTATATTTCAAATATTTTGGATTTACCATCAATTTGGGATTTGGGTTCTGACTAAAAGAATTTGGAATATTTCATCAGATTTGGAATCTGATTTGAAATAACGGAATGTAAAAAATTTTAAAAGCCTTTTTTAAAACAAAGATTTTCTAGTAATGTTGCCAAACTTAGGTAGTTAATGTTTTTGGTGCAATAATTATTTTATTATATTTTTCAGGGGGTTTTCCACTGTCATTTGTAATGCTTTCTTGATTGGTATGGCTAAAATTAATATCTACTATTATCTTTTGGAACTCTAGGATCATTGGTAGGTCAAGGAAGGCCAAATCTTGTCCCTTTTTTCACAAGAAGAAAAAAGGCTTAGGAATTAGTCATTTAGTAAAAACCTGGGAAAATTTTACAGGAAATTGCAAAACAATTTATACATCTTGAAAAAACACTAAAAGTCAGCGCCCATTTGTACAGAAGCAGTCAGGGAAATTTCGGGGAATTTCCTTTCTAAAATTGTAGACGGCAAATAATTTAGCACGCGGCGGATCCCTACAAGGAGGGATCTTGCAAGGAGCCTCGAGTATAAGAGCACTCTATCCTTCAACTCATGCACAGGCTTCGTGCGAAGGGGGGGCACGGGCCAATGAGCGCAGAGCTTGCACCACTCCGCGAATCAGAATTCACGACAGCCGCGTCGGCCCACCTTTTGCCAATACCGGTCCGTCGATTGCGTCAGTTTTCCCCTCCGCCAATAGCCGAGTTCCTCGCTGTCGTCATCGCCTGCGCAAGAGCCGCCACCGTTTCAGCCAATGGGGCGAGCGGGGCGGGGCCGGAGTTTTTATAAGGGGCGCTTCGAGGGCTTTTTTCCGCTTTCCCCTTTGAGCCGCCGCTGCGCTGCCTGCTCCTGCTCGTCCTCCGCATCGTTCTGGCGGCTATGGCGCCTCTGGGTTACCCGCGCTTGCTCCTCCGAGCCTCGGCCCGGGCCGCCTGGGGAGGGGGCGGCTGCGACGGCTGCGGCTGCCGACATCTGCCGAGGGCTGCGCGGCGGCTGCACCTGACGGCCCCCAGGTAAGCGAAGGGGCTCCGCTGGGATAGCCTCCGAATCCGGGCGCGGCATACCGGAGGGCGCTGCCCGCGGCTCCCGCTCCCTCGGCGACTGCCTCTCTGGGAGGACACAGCCGCGCAGGGCTGGCGGGGGACAGGCCCCCCCAGTGGCCGCTCGCCGCGCTGCAGGCTGATGAAATCCTGTGGGCTGCTTGCATCGGCAGCCCGTCCCCGTCCCACCCCCCAGGGCCCCGGGAGCGCTTGGCGGACCCCTCGCAGCCCTGAGTCCTGTCCAAGGCTTCCTTCGGCCGATGGGCGCCTAGTCCAGCCCACCTGCCGGGCAGAGGGAGCTGGGCCAGAGCTCCGCGGTCGCTGCTTGGGCTGCACGCCTGGCCTCGGATTCCTCCAGCGGGAAATTTCTCGCAGCCACGAAAGCCTCCTCGATGCCTGATGCAATATTGAGAAGGTGGTCGCTCATTTGGAGCGCCTTATACTGGAAGCCCTCAAAACACCAGGCGCGCAGCCGGCCGGCCGCCTCTGTAGCTTCCTTGCTCTGGGAGTCGCTTGGCTTGGCTGCTGTTTGCAACCAGCTAAAGAAGCTGGGCTGGCCACAATTCTCTCTCTGGAGTCCCAGGTCACAGGAAAGGCTGCCGGGGCCTTCGTCTTTGAATTGCCCAGCAGAGGCTTGGTTGAATAGTGGGGTCAGACTCCCATGCGGAGTTTGTAGGGAAAAGCCGCCTAGGAGAATATTAAGGAAAGAGAAGCCAAACACTGCAGCCTCCCATCCATCAGGGTCAAAGCGTCTCTCTGCCCAGGATTCCAGGGGCTGTGGAATGTGGTCCGTTGCTGTGTCAGAGGGAGGCTTCTGGGCGCCCAGTTGGGGCTCAGCTCTGAAGTTGCACCAACTTCTGGGCAGCCACTCCTTGCGGCTGAGATGTTGTGGGTGGCCTCCGCCTGCAGAGAACCTACTTCCATTCATTGTATCTGGCCTGTCTTTGTCAACTGGGGACAATGTGCGCAAATGGTCCAGGCTGCTTAGGGAAACCGAGGCTCCGTTCTGGGAAGCCTGAAGAGCTCTTCCTTTGCAGGGACGAAGCAGTTGTCATCTCTGGACAGAAACTGGCCCGGCAGATTAGGCGGGAAGCCTGTCACGAAGTAGAACAATGGGTTGCTGCTGGCCACAAGAGGCCCCATCTCAGCGTAGTTCTAGTGGGAGAAAATCCTGCCAGCCATTCCTATGTGCTGAACAAGACCCGAGCAGCCGCTGACGTGGGTGAGTTTGCCTGAGCTGACTTTCCCAGCTAGCTGTCGAGAGTGGGGCAGGTAAATCTGGGGTGTCCGTCCGCCTTCTCTCTGGCCTTCTGCCAGACAGCGCTTGCTCAGGCAGTGCTGTTCTTCAGAGGAAGAAAGGGTGGGGTTGTCTTTTGACGGTTCATCTGCCCCCTCCTCTTGGAGAAAGGCAGCTGCAGCAGCTTCCCTTCAGAGTCAGTAAGTGGAACATGCAGATTTTAGAACAGTTCAAGCCCAGATCATAAAAAAAACAAATGTGGCATAAAACTCAGCTTAAGCGAATCACCAGCTTTGGCATTGGTGGGTCTGCATATAGCCAAGTCTTATGACTGGGACACAGAATTTAGCAATTGGATAGGAAATTTCAGGCCCTTGATTGTTTCATGGCGGATTAGAATGGGACCTTGCAGGAAGGTTTATCATTCACGGCTGCTTTCTGGGTTGTTCCTGCAACCTGTAGATGTGGCCAGGACTGCAGTTCCAAAGCAGGATCTTGGACAGCTGCTGAGAGGTCTTCCTGAACGGCATGTTGTCAGCCTCTTCTATTCTGGGCCACATCGACTGGCATGTGGACAGGCCATTTCAAGTAACTTCCATCTCCTTATATTGCATTTGTTCTTTGCAGGAATTAGTAGTGAGACCATTCTGAAACCGGCCTCTGTCACAGAAGAGGAGCTGCTTGATTTAATTGTCAAATTAAATCACGATACCAATGTTGATGGCTTGCTTGTGCAGCTTCCTTTACCAGGTGAGCAAGTCCTGGGCTTTTGGGGGGAGATTTGTATCAGACATTCCTGATTTTTGGAATGCACCAAGTTGAACCTTAATGTTGCAAAGCAACCTGTCACTTTTTGAGTTTTGCACGTTCAGCCAATTCCACCTCCTTCAGATGAATTCCTATCCTCTGGCAACACTTTGCAGTCTCACTTGTTAACTCCCCTTGCTCCTTGCCAGGCTCCATTTTGTGGTCAGACATGTGAAATCTGTCACACTGAGAGTCTCCCCTTCCTTGCAGAGCATATTGACGAGCGAAAGATCTGCAACGCTGTGAACCCTGAAAAGGATGTGGATGGATTCCACGTGGTGAATGTAGGCCGCATGTGCTTGGACCAATATTCCATGTTGCCTGCCACACCTTGGGGCGTGTGGGAAATCATCAAGAGGACAGGTAGGAGCAGGGTACCTATCCTGTGGTACAGGGGCTAGGATGCAGTATTGCAGGCTGACTGCCCAGGGCCAGAAGTTCCATCCTGACCGGTTCAAGGTTGACTCAGCCTTCCATCCTCCCGAGGTTGGTAAAATGAGGACCCAGATGGTTGGGAGTAACATGCTGATTCTGTAAATTGCTCAGAGGCTGCTATAAAGCACTATGGAGAATAGTACAGGGAGTCCTCGACTTACAACAGTTCACTTGGTTACAATGGCACTGAAAAAAGTGACTTACGCCCATTTTTCACCCTTATGACAGCATCCCCACAGTCATATGATTTACATTTGGATGCTTGACAACTGGCTCATATTTATGGCAGTCACAGTGTCCCGGGGTCACGTGGTCCCCCTTTTCAATCTCCTGAGAAGTAAAATCAAAACCAGATTTGCTTAACAACCATGTTAATAATTTAACATCTGCAGTGATTCACTTAACAAATGTGGCAAGGAAAGTTTTAAAATGGGGCAACTTAACAAATTTCCCACTTAGCCACATAAACATTGGGCTCAGTTGTGATCGAAAATAGAGGACTACCAGTATATAAATCTAAATGCTATTGCTTTTGCTATCCTGTTGATGGCGCTATTCCCAGGAAAACACATTCCCTGAGGGGCTTTTGTGTACTTTATTGCAGGGATTCCAACCCTGGGCAAGAACGTGGTGGTGGCCGGGCGATCCAAGAACGTTGGCATGCCCATCGCAATGCTTCTCCACACAGATGGACGGCACGAGCGCCCAGGAGGTGATGGTCTAGATGGCGAAATGCATAGCTTTGGGGGGGGGGGGGAGTTGAGATTTGTGGCCCTCACTGTGGCATACGGAGGCACATTTCAGGAGGGGTGAGATGGCCGAGGAGCCAGCTTGCAGCCTAAAGGTCAAAGCAGGCAGGCAGAGAGCAGTGAGCTGCATCTTTGTGTTGTCGCATTTCCAAGATGCTGGGTTGGTTCTTGGAATCAAGGGTCCTCTGAACCTCTGGAGGGCAGATGTGAATGGCCAGTAGGGGAAGTGCACTGCCATCTTTGGGAGCCTCTTCCTCCAAGGCTGAAATCCACCCACTTCAATATCTTGGGCCCAGTTGTCTTCTCAAGACCGTACAAACTGTCAACTTCTGTTTCGCTATTCGCTTTCAGTTGCCATTGAAACAGGGATGGGGGGAGCATGTTATTTGGGAGGGGAAGGTTTGGTACAGGAGAGATTGTTAAGAGGGAGTTTTGTTCTCACCATCTACCGCTGCCGGCTGGTGTTTAGAGTTGGTCAAGGCCAATCGTCATGCATACCAACCTGATGATGCTTCTTGGAGATGCAACCCACATGACCCCTGAGGGATTTGCAGATTGGACAATGGGATGGGGGTTGTCGGGGGAGTGGGTTGGACAAATATTGCTATGTATGATTTCGTGCGCTTCTGCCTCAGACCTTGTTTTACTTTGCTGCTATCTTTTCATAACCAGTAAAAGTACTCTTAATTCTGCAAAATGGAGTTAGGTGGTTTCTTTCTTGGTTGCTGAAGGAGGCCGGCTTGACACAAACCTTGTTATCGTCAGTGAAGCCCACAAGTGGATCTCTCAACTGTGGCCCTGTCTGAGGGGTTTCCTGTTAAAAGCTAGACTGCTTAGTCCAAGAGTTGTTTTGAGCAGAATTTATGGTCCTTTCATCCCAAAGCGTCCCAGATCTTGATCCTAGTGTCTATTTTAGTGTCACTGCTATTAATTATGATGCAGGAATTTAGCAAGTTGTTTGCAAAAGCTTTTAGGCTCTCTAATAAACATAAGCTTCATTCATTTCTGCTTTATATGGCTTTTAAATGGGTCCAAAGTAAATTGTAATTATTATTAATTGTTTATCATAATAATTATCATTATTATTGTTTATCATATTTTATTTGTTTTATTATTTTTTAGGGGATGCAACAGTAACAATTTCTCACCGCTATACTCCAAAAGAGCAGCTCAAACAGCACACCATCCTTGCTGATATTGTGGTTGCAGCCGCAGGTAAGGTCTTGAGTGGCTTGTTTAGGAGAGAAAGTTGAAAAAAGAACCTCCTGAGGGGACGTTGTTGACCCCCAACCAAGTGACAGTGCTAGGAAGCCTCTGCCGGGCGGGCGGGGGGTTGCTTCTGCATTCTGGAAAGTCCTGGGGAAGCTCTCGGGAGGGGTCCCAAGCCAAAGGCCTGGCCATGGATCTGCGGTTTCTCTCTTCCTGTCAGCTTGGTGAACTAAGCAAATCATAGGAGGTTTTTTTGTATTAACTACTGTTTTTCAGGCATTCCCAATCTGATTACAGCTGATATGATCAAAGAAGGAGCTGCTGTAATTGATGTTGGCATAAACAGAATCCAGGATCCTGTCACTGCCAAGCCAAAACTTGTTGGAGATGTGGATTTTGAAGGTAGGCAGTTGATTTGTAAGGTCTAAATCCCTTCTTGATATGAAGATTTGTAGCTGCATTCTGGCAAGGGGGGAGGGAGTCCAATTTCAGCTACTGGAGTGATGATGTTCCTTGCTTCTCTCTACATGCCCACTTTAATGCAGAAAGTCATGTGTAGTTTTGAACAAGTTGGGAAGCTAATCTGTGGACAACTTACATCACTTTTCCAAATGGCAGGAAATGAAGTTGGTTTTAATGTAGCTAACTAGTAAATACTTTGTTTTTCCCTGTAACTTTATACTGCAACTCTCTGTATTGGGAGAAGCTTTGGGTGGGTTATGGGATTTGGAAAGTCGTCGCAGCTTTCTGTATGTCATCTTATTTCAGTAATTCAAAGCCAAGTGTTCAGAAAATGAGTGTGTGTTATCTGGTGCCTGGTCTTGGGTTTCTGTACAGTGAACAAAAGCTGGAGGCCATTGTGAAAAGGAGGAGGACATTCCATGAAGGGGGGAACTCAGTTACGAGACAAGGGACTTCCTTTCAGTTAAGAAATGCAATGCAATTCAGTAATGAGAAAAGTAAGGTTTTACACAGGCAAGAAAAAGTTATATAGAATATGAGGTACCGTTATTCTTAGAACTGTCATCTAAATGCTACATTTCTTTCTTTCCCCTTTTTCAGGAGTCAAGCAGAAAGCCAGTTACATCACGCCAGTTCCTGGGGGGGTTGGCCCCATGACTGTTGCTATGCTTATGAAAAACACCATTATTGCTGCCAAGAAAATGCTGAGAGCCCAGCATCTTGAAACCTTTAGTGCTTGATGATGGACTTCTTGTGGCCAAAAGTGACATTCCAGATTGCCTCCCTAGAAGCAATGCCGTATTTATTTATTCGATGAAATGTTTTGGCCAGCTGCTCTGCAATATTTATATAAAGCAATTTTCCTCTCAGGCAGAGTAGCTCCTGTCAGTTGTACACATGATTCCTACCTTTTAAACTGCTATTCTGAAATACAGAAAACGAGATCACAACTTGAATGGGAAAGTTGATTCCTCACTCTTAGGCAGTCTGAAAGAGTAACAAAGGGCCAAAATGTGTTTTTATAGTAGAAATATATACACTTGAACTGACTAACCTTGGCTGAACCCAGGATATAAATTATTTGTTAGGATTATATTGCAGCTAATCTGGAGTCAAAAGTTACTATTTTCTACAAAGCCATATTTATATTTAATAATGCTTAGCAAATCAGTTGATAGCCTATTCAATACTCAGTTTTTTCCTGTTTTAAAGGAAGAATTGGCTTGAAAGCTAGGCGACGCTTAGACAAAATAAGGTGAGCTCTCCATGCTTATTCCAACTTGCTTGTGTTTATCTGAGCAAGGAGTAATATTGCTGGATGTATCTGAATAAAAATAATTGTTACTTGCTTGTAAAGTCTTGAGTTCCATCATACATTTTGTCAGAACGTAGCTGTGGCGTGGCTGGCAGTCGTCTTCTGTCCGACATTGCAGGGTCCCTCTGCTGGGAGGGTAATCCTCCCCTAAATGGATTAAAGATACACTTTTTATGCAGTTGCCCAACCCCATCTAGGGATTCAAGTCCATGCGTCTGGGCAGCATCCTGGCTGAAGAAGGCGGCAGCAGTGAATAAGGTGCTCTCTCCCACAAGCCTTAGAACATATCCTGCCTGCTTCTGCTGCTCTAGGAGCCAGGAATAGGGAACGTGCATTTATCCAGGTGCTGCAGAATCGTTTGTGTTGTTTCCTTGTCACCAAATTAATGGATGTTTCCGCTATCCTGGGATTGGATACTTTGTTGTCCCCTTTTCAAAACCAGGCAATGTTTGCCTCCTTACTGATTTTATGTGAGAGTTTCAGGATAGGAGCTGCTGGATTGTTTTCAATTTTCTCCTTTGAACAAGTGACTCCTCTGGGGTTCCTTGGCTTCACTGGCTGCAGAAACTGGCAATTCTTTTTTGTCTGGCTTGTTGGTTTTTTTTTGAATGAAAACCTGGGCTGTCATTTGGCACAGAGCTGGTACGTGCAGCTTTGTCCTGCTCCCTCAGGTGTCCCACCAAATGTCATGTTGGGGTGACTGGTTTGTGCAGCCCCTTAAGCAGCTTAACCCAAAGTGGGCATTGGTGGCACGATCTGGAAGCAGGATGGAAGGCAGGTACTGTGAACAGGTTCATTGTTTTTCTCTCTCTGTTACACTCGCTTCACTGATCCTTACTCCAGCCAGTCCCCATGTTGAGAACACTTACGTGCACGGAAGACCAACCTCCACTGCTGCTGCTTTGATATGACCACATTGATCTGGAAGATGCACATTCATTTAGATGCATTAATGTTTCTTGACCAATTCAGTAACCCCAAGAGACTGAAAGCCTACTGTCCCGTTGTATTTGCAGTTCTAGCCAAAATTGCCTGAGAGGAAAGTGATCAGAGACCCTATTGGAAGAGAATTGCAGAAGAAAAATGAGTAGTGGCAGAATGGAGGGGGGTGGGGTTTGGAGAAGAAGCTTCAGCAGCAAAATAACAAAGAGGACACCCAGGTTGTCTCTGCAGCAGGTTGGTGTGTGTGTGAGAGAGAGAGAGAGAGAGAGACAGAAATTGAAGTAGGATCAAGAGAATGTGGCCCTCTAAAGTGGCCAGGAAAGAGGTTTGTGGCAAGATCAGCGGGAAAGGGAGGATGGGCATCTAACACTAAAGAACGAAGAACCTTCACAGGACTACTTTTCCAAGGCTATCGCAATAGCACTTAGACATATATACTTGTTGTGGTCCCCTGGTGGACTGTGGAGCTGGCAGCAGAGTCAGACAGTGAGGAGGTTGGGGAGGAGTTTAGGCCAATCCTGAAGCCAGGGGAAGGTTCAGACGAAGGCTCTGCGGTGGAGGCAGAGAGGGGGTCAGGGCCATCTGGGAGTTATCTGCTGCCTCTGCAGTCTCCAGAGTCTGATATCAGCAAGGCAGAGGAACAGGCTCCTTCTGTTCCCAGTGCATGCATGTGCAGAGCTGCCAGAAGGCAAGAATAGTTAAGACAGAAGGGATGACTTGGGAGTAAGGCTTGGAGGTGATTGGCTCCTCCCATAGGATATAAAGGAGGAGCAAAGGCATGTGAGCCTTTGCAGGAAGCAACTTGGTTCATGCTGGTCAGTTTACCTTCTGAAGCTCCCTTTTGACTCTGCTCGTGTGGCCTTGCCAAGCTAATTGCCAACTAAGTCTTTGGCAGCGTTTCAAGGAAGATAAAGATGGGTGCTAATCAGCCTTATCTTGAAAGACTTTGGCAGCCTATTGTAGGACTCTACAATTATTTGGGACTCTTTACCGGCTGGGAATAAACTCAGAACAGTACCTCTCCACAGTGCTTTTAAGCACTCTGAGTGGTTTTTTAACATCAACCTTGAGCTGGTCAGGATCAAACTGCTGGCAGTCAGCAGAATCGGCGTGCATACAATATTCTAATGCACTACCACTATCCATGCCCCACCATGGCTCAAAATATTTTTTATATATACCCATCAACCCTCCAATCCCAAGTTTTAAAAAAAGGACATGCAATTTGTAAAATAAGGCACAAAAGATGTAATTTCAGATATAGAAGCAAGGATTTTGTTCGGGAGATTCTAGAGTGGTTCGATTGTGGTTTTTCTTTAATGCAAATAAATGAGTTTAAATGGCAGCAGGACCTCCTACTTGGTTCACAATTGCAAAATTTGTGACTGTCTTATGAGAGAAACAAGATCTATACCTTCCTAGAGTGTGGTATTTGCCTGATGAACCAACAGGTTGTTATGTATTTTTTGTTTATGTCAATTTGGAAAAAACATTAATTCACAATGGAAAAGGCTGGTTTATTTTTTAGCCATCAGCAAACATAAATGCTCCAAAACTTGGATGGATACCAGGGAAAAGAAAACAAGTGTGATTAAATACGAAATTGATATTCTTAGTAATTAGATAGTATGTTCTAGGCTTTCTCTAGTATACTTCAATCTAGAGGTCTCTTAATGGTGCACTCATTGCTGTTGCAATGGAATCCGTTCGATCCGCTGGTTATCCTTTCTACAAAAGCTTTAGGATACAAGACTTCAGGATTTGGTCATTTGAGCTGGTCATTTGTGCCTCAGAACTGAATGATTTGTTTTAGTTGTTTATTTTCCTTGCTGCCATGGTATTCTCAAGAGTCTTAACAGCACCCCAAATCATCAATATTTTATCTATTCCACTTCTTCAAAGTCCAATTTTGCCTTTTATGCTATGTCACAAGAAAAATATAAATCTTCATATTTATTAAAAGCTATAATTGGGGTTCATTCACTTTCCTAATAAAATTATGATGCCAGCTGTTTTGCCACTAATGCTGTGTTGCCATCATGGTGGCAAGGATGGTTACCATGATGTCAATGCAACAAGTTTCTGCTGGGGGATGTATAGCTCATCATCAGATCCATTTTGAGAAGAGAGAAATAGGGTTTTGGTTAAAGAGGACAGCAACAATAAGCTTAATTTTCTTTCCGTGGTTAGATTTTGGCCTCATTGAGACATCCACAGAAAGCAGGATGGCAGGAAGGGGGGGATGGAAAGCCAGCTCAACGTTTTCAACACAGCTGTTTTTTTTCTTGTCTAGAAAAGCACAGATCCATTTCCTTCTAACCATTTGGTAGGAATGGATGAATGCAATGGGAGTGTTCCATCCATTTGCTCAAATCATAGCTTGGGACTGCTTTGTTACTTAGAAATTTAGGTTTAGTCAAGAAGTGTCTGCAAAAAAAGTGAGCCATCTGAGGGGAGGTTTTATGGCTCCTTGGATTAAACGCTCAGCTAGTGGCTCAACTGAATTCCAGGCTGTGGCAACACAGAATAAGTTCAAGTTAAAGATGCTGAAGAATGCCGGGAACATCTCATCACAATGTTCAACAAGGATGCAATCTGATAAGCTAAAATTGCTTCCAGTCTAAGAAACTCCTTTATCCCCATAGAATGGGATCCTGAACTATCTTTCCCACAAATGTCTGAGTAAAAGTCTCTGTGTTCCTCACAGTTCCACAACTCATCTAATGTTTGTGTTCAATTCTTTAGTGTTGGATAAGGCCCAGGAACATCCAGTGACCTCTGGGTTTATAATACAAGGGTGGGGGGAAGGCATGTGGAGACTAGAGGGTCGTTTCACTGCCCATGTCCTGTGGGTGCTGTCTCTCGGTGTCGGTATCTTCATAATTGGATCCCATCTCTATCTTCACCTGGGGTACCGTACAGATGGGGCTTCGAGAATAGCTAAAGGCTGGAGAAGATGGGCAGGAAATCTTCAAATGAAGTGTAATACTACAAGAAAGGCAAATAAATTGGAATTAGGAATTATCTCAGACAAGAAACTGTAGTCAGCTTGAACAGAAGGAACTGGTGGAGACCGTGGAGATTAAAGGAGAACTAAGGGAGAGTTGGTGAGGGGGAAATTGGCCCCTGGGACAGAGTTGAGGGAGTGCGGAGTGTCCTGTGATTCGGAGCTGGCAGCGGACCGGTAAACTTTAATTTTCCGAGCTGCCAGCCTCCATGGACGCCAACATTGTTGGCTAATGAAATTGACCACCTTGGACTTGTTTTTGACGCGCTGGGCCCTAAGAACGTCGGGCCCGATTATTGAATGGAGCGCCCCCCCCCTCCCCTTCTACCAGAGATAGGCTTCCCTCCCTCCCTCTTTGGACTCTTTGGACTCCTTTGATCCTGGAAATGTCATCAAAAGAAGCTGCTGAAATGAACACACTTACCAGACTTCTTGCTACTATGGTTAACTCCCCGGTTCATACCATTGCAGCTGACTCCCGAACTCACTTTCCCCCCCAGCCCCTCCCCCCCCTGGACTACACTGAACTTTTCAGAAGAGCCCCCCC